TGTGTGTGTGTATGTATGTATATATTGGGGGGGGGGGGGATTTTGCAAACTACCGGTAATCTGGACTATTATTTTTCCCACTATAATATCAGAAACACAGAAATGAATGAATGAATGAATGAATACACTGTAATTTGAAAAATTATAACGTTTGAATGCATTCAGAATGTTGTTAATAATGCTTGTTTTCAAACAGAAATCTGTTCTCAACCAGACACTGCTTTTAACATGAATAAATGAAATCACAAAATGTAACTTTGTTTTGTGAGATGCTATTTTACACTTGCAGTATTTTTTATAGATTCCCTGTGTTGAAACCTTACAACCTGGGTCAAAATATTAAATCCAAGGGGTGAAATCTGAATGACAATAATGATTACTTGAGCTAACGGCTGAAAAAGTCAGAACACATTATTGTAAACAGTAGTTTTTAATTTTTGTGTTGGGACAACATTTATAGTTGTTGTGTGTGTGAAACTAAAAACAGCTGAAAACAAATTAGAACTTACAACGGTATGCCCATGGTTACAATGTTAAGAGAAAAGATAGCACTAATCCTCTTAATTCATACTATGCTAGCTTTCCGTTTGCAGTTATTGATATTACTGACCTGTTGGGAGCTGCACACACATCTCAGCACAATGTCTCAGTTGTGACGGCACAAACAAGTTGCCACATAACTGTAGATGAGTGCAATCATAATCAGCTCTTCTTACTACAGCTAATCAGTGGAATTTTGCTTGTCTGGAGTGTAAGCTGTGGGAAAACCTGACAGGCTAGGAACAAAATGACGGCAATTTTGGAATCAGCATGCCAATTTTAGCGTTCATCTGCATAAAAATCTAACTCAACATTTTTTTTTCAAATTGCTCCCCCAGTATTCGGCATCAAATATACTGTATTGTCCACATTTTTGAAAAGATCAACACTTCATTTATTTGTCCCTCTGCTCAGATCACACACACCGCATCCTCACCTCATGAAGCAGCTTTTCCAACTTCTCCTGAAGCTCAGCAAAGTAGCGAGATGTAACCAGACCTTTCTGGGACTTCTCCAAACAGTCACGGACCAACTCGACCAACTGGTGCTGGATGAAACCCAACACCCCATCAGCCAACGGGAGGGAGCTGTCTGGAGAACAGTGGGTAACAATTTCCAACAATCTCTCCTCCATCTGGGCTGTGGCCTACAAGCAAGAAAATGTACATATAATCCTTTACTACAGTTTGAAATCAAGAAGTAGTTAAGGTTGTCACATACTGCAACAGAATTACTATGCATCGCTTACACTGGTTGTTGATCACATAACAATGACTGACAATACACTGAACCGCCGCCACATTTTAGTGGTTTGGCATTCATGGACTCGAACATCACATTTTTTTTGGAACCGTTATTTGCCGAAAATCTCACCTAAAAATCTTGGTGTGGTTATTAAGATTTAATCCAATTATTCAATTATAGATTTTTTTTCGTCATCTCCATTTGAGAGGTCTTGTTTTGCTGGCAGTCCTTAAATGCACCTCGTGCACTGTTGAGTGTAAAACACAATGTATGCTTCTGCTTCTCTCCCAATGCGGCAATAGCAGGTGAAGTCTGATTTGCTGTTAAAATTTGCCTGTGGTGTATTCACACCATTTATTAATGTGTCTTAATGCAAAAAGCAAATTAATGACCTCATACTGTATAAAGTAATTTGTATAAAGTAATTGTGCGCGTAATTGTTTGCCCAGGTGTGAATTTCAGTCAGTTTGTGCTTGCTTGTCATCTAGGCTAGAATCAGAGCTCAAATACCTGTTGAATCTCATGTTGGGTTTGTTTGTGTTGAATAATTTAACTACTGAAAAGTTATTTATGTTAATATGGGTTCATGATTGTGTACCGGATACATGCATGGCATTGGGCCTTTATGATCCTCTCCATTTTAAGTGCCTTGTGACATTTGTATGCAAATAAAACCTCCTTTTCGGGAAGGTTGTCAATGAGCCAATTTTCGCTATTCGCCAGTCTTCATCTTTATAATGCAGACATGATTCGGTCGGTTAACTGCAAGACTTTCTCGAAATATATGCATATCTTTTCTGCTCAAATCTGAACAGGTTTTTCGAGCTCACCTTTGGAAAGCGTTCTCTGTAAACATGGTTCATCATGACTATCTCATTGTCAAAGGAGACGCTTGATCGCCCAGGGCTGCAACATGAACCAAACAGGTGATTATTACATTTAAACAGCTTAAGAGATGTACTGACATTTGCCAACAATCAAATATAAAGTTGCTTTGAACTGTAACACTTGGTTGGGAAAGGGGGATGATGTCAACAAGAACAAAGTCGACAAAAGAAGTATGTGAAGTGACACATTGTCCATTCATTCCCTCAAAACATGAAGGATACGATATTGGGACTCGCCATGCGTCAAAGTTGACTGGTTTAGCAGTCTCTATATTTTGCAAACAAGAGCCAAAACTAGCACTTGCAAGTTTTCACAATTCTTTGCTCTCAGCCCTCATTGTTTCAAAATCAAGGTAACAGGTGCTGGTAATCCTAGCGAAGAGACCAGTCGGGTATCACAACAAACAAATAATATAAAATGCCTGCCATCTTTCAGTTGGTAGGCTAAATGTCTCAACACAGAGTAGTATCAAAAAAAGTATCAACATACGCCGAGAGCACCCTGTTGCGGTTTAATGTGAAAATAACGTGAAACGATATCATGTGTTAATCATTTCACACATAAGTCGCCCCCGCGGTCAAAAAAAAAAAAAAAAAAAAAAAACTACGATTTATAATCCGGAAAGGACGGTAGTTAAGAAAAACATAACAAAAATATACATTTTGAAATGAAATGTATGAATTCAGGAGCTAACTTTCACTACAATGTTATGGACAAAAAACAAGGTTAGTGGTACTTTAGTCGTGCTCTTGAATAGCCACGACAAGACAGGAAATCTACATTTCAACTTCATACCGCACTCAGTAAGTCTGCGATTCAGTTGTAGTCCTCCTAACCAACACAGAAAAATCAAAAACAATACTTCTGGCCTTCATGCTTTCACACTACAGTTTTACTAAGAATTTTTACAGAGAATTTGAGAATGATATAGTTAAAACCCCATAGGCTGAGGGCAACTTTGCCAAAAACGCCTGAAAAAAGGTGCGCCCAAAGTAAATTTGTAGCTGTTCTTGAATCATTTGGAGTATCAGCATAGTTTTGGTCTCTTTATGAAATATTCAAAATGTTATCATTTTGAATATCCCCCTCCAACAGTCAGAATCTGTGTAAGTGCTCCTGTCACTGAACTATGAATGTTTGAAAACAGAAAGAAAAGGCGAATCTTATGTTCGTCTAATTTCTTTTCACAAAATCTGCCTTGAAAATGAATTTGGAATGTTGATTTGGACTTGAAAACACGACAGGATCAAAGCTTGAGGTCTCCCAAAGTTCCAGTTCAAATTTGACAATTGTAAAATGTTGGGCACCATTCAAATCTCCAGAAACTCAGCTATTAAAAGATATATAACATGTTCACGCATGACGACGTGCATCAGCGATTTGTTTTGACAGATGACGGAGGGCCCCTTGGTGGGCCGTCCAACTTTAAAGGGTTAAATATCATATACAAAGACAAACTCTGACTACCCTTGAACCTTAAAATACAAAAATGTTACTTTCAGTAATACAATGTTTTTCAACATGTAACAAGTGTACCGGTATGTGTTTTCACACCTCTAATGCAAACTAAAACAAGCTTGATGATGCAATGTCCTGACCTCATATCGACTTCATCACTATCAGGATTACATAACAGCACGTCCATGCCAAACTCCCATTAGCCTGGCCTCGAGTCTATCCACTTCTATTAAACTAAACATTCTAATCTAATTCCATATTTTGACACATGACTTTAGGTCAGTGATGTAGTGATTCATTAACTGCCGAAAAGCAGCATTTGGTATTCAGCTGCACGCGATGGAAACTGTTTCAAGCTGTTCAATTTCACAGTCCGGTTTTGATGCATCTGTTGCACACGTGTTTATATTTAAGCAGAGGTTAGCTTTTAGCCAAACAGTGAATCACTCGCAGCGCTTAGTTATTCATTGACAGCCACATCACAGTGGATTCGTGAAAAAGCTGGTCCAATTTGACAGAAAACTGTGGCTGGTCAAAGCATTCAGCAGAAAAGATGCAAAGTAAACCTATCACATGCACGCATGCTCCCCAAGCCTTTTTGTTGTCATGAAAGCCGCCTCAGACTGTATGCGAATGCCCAGCACGCTGCTGCAACTCACAGTGGCGCTGAAGCCCTCATCCCAATCCTAAACCACCCCCGCCATCGACTGCAGTTCAGCAGCGGGATCCCTGCGGCACTCTGTAAGCCAGCACGCCTACGCACGGTACGCCATGGCGCCAGAACACAAAGCATTCAGGCATACAAACATGCAAACTGCAAAGCGGCGCCAACACACAAAAGTTACCAAAAATCACACATCTTAACTGTCGGATCTCCATCTGACTCTCAGCCTGCCTCTATATATAATCAATGAGAAACAGCCATCTTGGTCAAGAAACATCTTATCATCCTCAACATTCTTTTTGTCCTAACGTGAACAGTCTGCCTCATCAGACATGCAATGAATGTCCCAACTTTTCATGCAAAAATGCAATTTGTTGCATTTAATCTTGGTGAAAACCACATTTCAGGACGTTTTTGTGTGATGATAAGCTCAGATGTTAACAAGAGTTTTGTGGTTCATCTATAAACCCCAATTCTAATGTAACATAATTCCATGACCATACGACGCATATAAAAAGCCTTAAATTTTCTGCAAAATGGACGGGGGGCCTAATAATGCGATTCGCCTTGTGTATGCACAGAGTTCAAAAATCGGTGAATACTGTGACTTCGATGAGGGGTCCGCTTGACTGACTGATGTTGTGCCGACATGTTGCTTGTGAGAGGAAAGGTGGATGTAACTGAGGACAGCACACGGACGTTAAAGTGGGACGGGTGGGCTCGAAAGAGGATGCTAAATGCACACCCCCACCCCCAGTAGGTGTAAATAGTGCCGGTATGTGCATTGTGCAAAACAGCATCCCAAAAATGGCACCTACGAAGAGACACACTTACGAAGCACGGTTTAAACTGTGAGCTATCAGTTATGCGGAGGACCATGGGAGAGAATTCAAGATCAACTAATCCATGGTGCCTGGTACTTTTTTGTTTTATGAAAAGGTGCCATCTATCCATCCGGGCAAGGACTACCAGGGTGAAGCAACATCCAGCGGATTATAAGGAAAAGTTGGCCATCGTCCACTCTGACTGCAGTAAAGTTACGTTAAATAAAGACGCTTTCTTGGAGATGGTAATCCTTTATTCTGCTGCTTTGCTGGACTCACTTGGCTTCCATTACCACATTTCTAGCGTAGACGCATGGGCTATGCCAAGTGATGAGGGACAAACATATGTTGCATTTTGAAATACAGTACAACAAAAGACTTCCAACAAACACATCCAGCCCAACCACATTGACAACATGGACAAAGTGCCGCTCACTTTCGACATCGCGGTGAACCACACTGTCGAGAAGAAGGGGTCCAGCACGGTAGCGATATGCACAACGGCGGCGTGAGAAGTCTTTTCACTGTTGTGCTTTGTTGCCATGGTAATGGACAGAAATGGCCACCGTCGGTGATTTTTAAACCAAAAGAAAAGTTTCCAGCCGGAATCAAAGTGAAGTTGCGAGCGGCGTAGGAGTGATGGCAACTCAGCTTTACTAAGATTGGGAGGCAGCGCCGGGTAGTTACGCCACAATTTGGGAATTGATTGTGGATGCTTGGGCTAATGTGACTGCTTGCACTGTTGTTAGAGTTTCGCAAAAGCCAGTATCATTTCTGAGGAACCGCACGGCAATGAGACTGACTCTGATAATGGCGCGAGGGTTACCTGGCGTGTTTGACGGAGAACTTGCCCAGCTGTTTTTTTTTTCAGATACAGAAAATGAGGACTTTCATGGATTTGTGGATGAGCATTGATCAAAAAAATAACAAGTACATTGTTAAATACTTCAATAAAGTACACCTGAACTCAGTTTTGCTCCCGCTGTATTTATAAAAACATACACTACTGCGCACTCATGTTACTGTGTTTTTTTTAAACTAGCGTACATTTTACCATTCCAGTGTCCAATAATGCAATGCACCTTGTGTATGTGTTAAATACAGAAATGGCACTCGTAACTGACATTATGCCTTTTAATACGGGTGGGTGGGCGGTATGGTCGTGAAAATGCGGTAGTTGGGACGTTGTATGAAACGCAAATAAAAACAAAACACGATTTGCAAATAAAAACAAAACACGATTTGTAAATCCTTTTTAACCTATATTGAATTGAATGTCCCACAAAAACAAGAAATTTCATGTTCAAACTGATAAAATTGTGGAGTGTCTTGCAAATATTCACTTTGAATTGAATGCTTGCAACACATTCCACATTCCGGTTTTTAATGCAGTGTTGCCTAACAGCTCAAAGGTCACGGGGATTCAATGTTAGTTTTTGGCCTTGATGCTTAAAAGATTTCTCCAGTTTCGATCAATCCTTTTGATGATGATATGGCCCGTAGATGATGAAATCCCTGAATTCCTTCCTGTAGTGGTGGTGCTCTCTTGAGCACAAGAGAAGCTATACAGTGATTTATCATGATACTACAAGACAAATATTTTTAATTAAGTATACACTTGGAGCAGTATTTTTGTGGATAGTTGGTAAAATGAGGTTGCCTGAAACGCGAAGATTTCTGACCTCGCAATCCATCCATTGCCACTGTCTGATACAGGCAAAAAATAATAAATCACTCATTCTTATCATCATTCACTGAGATACAGGTCATGTTTTAGATAAGCCAATGAGAGAAAGTGACTGCAAACTTGCCAACATGATACGATTTTATTGTAATTTAACGTTTTTCATTCAAAGGACAACAAAAATGCTCTGCTCCCATATCAACCTTTCTCTGGCATCTGAAATGTATAAATCGGTTTGAGGCTTGCCTACTACACGCTAGCACACGTTTAGTTGTTCTGATTGGTCCGTAGTGGATGCGGCAGCCAATGTGCTCCTGTCGGGTATTTCCCAGTGGATTTATTAAAACAAACGGTTTACTCAGCTGGTTATACAGTAGTGTATTAATAGCAAGCCCTTGCATTCAGAACCTCTGTTAGTAATTAAACTTTGTACATAACTGATCGGCCGCCTCAGACTGGGCTATAGTTTGCATTTTATGCACAATTTTTTTTTCATCGTCCGTCATGTCTTTAAATTGCCGATTAATCAATGACGTCATTGATCGGATCTATGAACTAAAACATTACAGCTGTAGTGTTACCCCACATACACATTTACCCATGGCAGAGCAGCACAAATGAATTTTGGCCGGTACTAAAATGATACTACTTGTCAATATGTAACTTTCATTGCTGCACCAAAAGCCGCTCTGCTGTGTGGTCCTTGTGTGAGTCTGCTCATCAAAATCAGTACCAATCTCCTTTGTGGTACGCTACTGCAAATACAGTGCCTCAAATAACTGAGGTATAAATCATATTGATGTTTAAAATTTGGGAAATCAATCTTAGTGGGACTAGCTCAAACAGTATCGGTCCCCCTCAGTATTCTAGCAGGCATAGAGGCTTTCATGTTCCTTTCACAGCACACTTGGAGCTCCTTTTGTTGTCTTAATATTTCAAAGAGCATACCTCTGTTATGATTCAAAAATCCGCGTTATTCATTAAAATAGCTCTGAAAAGGTTCCAACTAAAATATTTAGTAGGATTTTTTTTCTACTGCATGTTTTTTTTTTTAAACTAATCAATCCTGATATTCCTGAACATGTAAAGCCTATGCATAGTGTGAATGAGCTACCTCAGACTCCGGGAGCGAGGTCGCATGACGGTTGTGGGTCGGCCATCCTCGTCAGTTATACTGTCCGTGCTGCGGAAGTGTTTGAAAAGGAAGTGCAGCTCATCTTGGGTTGGCTGGTAGGGAAGCTGATGAAGGCGCTCCTGGGAGGAGGATGAGGACTGCAGACAAACCAAAAGGCTAGCGGTCAAGAAATGAATCTCATGTTGACTCGGAAGTGAAAAGTAATACAGTACTGTAAATGTCTCTCCCTCTCTGAGAGTTGAAAACGTGCCAAAGGCGCTGAAAACCACAAGCATGTGTTCAGACAAGTTAAACACAACATCAAGTGCAAACAATATTGCGGGGAACTCCAGGTAAGCACCCAAACGTCGTAAAATCCAAGTGTGTAGAATCTTCATAGAAATTGAAAACACAAACCACGCGATCAGAAAAGGCACCTAAAGGATGCAAAGGCATCAGGGACAGTTTAATTAAACCTTTTGTAAAACTCACTGGACACTGCACAGAATGTGGCGACGTACCCCTGACAGACGAGCCCAGGGGAGCGGTACCTATGTAGTCTCTTTCTAATGCCATGCTACAAAGAGAAGCTGAGGCACACTGATAAATTCTATTATCCACAATGACCTGAAGGTCTGTGCTCAGGTCTGACAATAAACTTCCTTATAATAGAAGCACGTGTTAGGGATGCACAGACTGTGAAATTGTTGGTCCATACAGATAAAGGTATTATGGGCCAATCATTAGGGCCTTATTATTATTTGTGGTCATTGAAATGATGTCAATAAAAGGAGTTCTCATGTCTAAATTACTTTGAAATTGTGTCTGACTCTCACACTTAATTTTAAAAATATGTTTTAAGAGCCATCATCAGTGGAAAATCACCCCTACGATCGAAAAAAACACACCAAGGGGCATCCTCGCTCTCAACGTAATCCCTTCACGAATATGCACACACACTGTCCAAATTGTGCCTATTACCTCTAACACTGTATTCAACAAACTAGCCCAATGACTCATTCAAGCAGATAATGCTCGAAAACAATGAACTGTTTGTCAACTCAGTCTTGGCATTTGCTGTCCCTAGCAGCATAAATGAATGTGCCATTGGGCTTGAATGAGGTGTTAGCAAATATCAACTGAGAAGGATGGTGCCATTTTTTTTTTCGTGGGGGAGTTACGGTACTTACTGAAACAGTTGAGCTCGGTGGGTTGGTTCCATAGCCTGACGAAGGGAGGGATGCCAGAGACCATCTTCGGCCCTCAGCTCTGAAACATCACATTTGGTATTGTTAAGCATTTAACATGTGAAACATATTGCACAACACACCGTGCTCTGTTACTATGGGTGCAAGTTTTTATCATTTCCTGTCACGTGTTGCATGCAATGGGTTGTTTGTTGTAGCGCTCCATTTTTCTTTTGTATTATACCTACAAAAATCAAACAATAACCTCAACTACAAACCCAGCCACTTTATTAGGTGCACCAGGAGAACGTAATACCGCAAATGCCAGGTTTCAATTGACACAGTCAAGAGATGAATTCACGTAACAATATGTTTACAATGTCCTCCCAGGATGAATATAACGTATATCTATGTACATTACTTTGTACATAGAGATTTGCTATCCCACAAGAAAAATAAGGTACCTGTCTGCACGAGCCAAGTGACTGAGACGAAAGCAGAGGAGAAAAGAGAAGGGAAAAAAGCAATGAGTTCAGTGTGGACCAGTGCAAATAATCCTGTGACCTCTGGCATTCATCTGAGGAAATTCATCTTGACAATGTTGCCATCCTTGCCACTTTGCATTTGTCCACATACTAAAATTCTTCTCAGGAAGCATTTTACGTAACAGGAACAAATTGTCATTGCGAAACACCAAGCCCAGAGATTATGTCACTGCAACTTTTTGGTTTACGTTAAGGAGTGACAAATAGGAGTGACTGTCACAACGTTTGCCATGTACAGTACTTAACACACCATTGAACAGAATACAACAAGAAATAGCATTCCTGTTTAAATACATGAGCAGACACACTCACTTTGAAAAAATGCAATGAGCGACATTCCTTGACAATTATTTCTATTTTATTACATGTCAGGCCAAAGTGATTTTTTTATTTTTTTAAATAGAAGAAACATTGTGATGCATTGAAATAGCTTTAACCTATTGAGGCGGAAACTCTCTAAGACAGAAGTTCATTCACAGCAGACCATAATATCAGTAAGCCATGTGTTTCAGTTGTCATATTCTGTTTTCAGCTTCACAAGGCGTGACAATGTCTGGCAGTAGTTTTTCACCCCCGGAAACAATTGGCTTCAATTTAAGCACCATCAGTCTCCGCGAAGTGGAAATTCCCACAGGGCATATGCATGAATAACATCTCTTACTTCAAAATAAAAAATTGAGCAAGCATCTGTATACAGTAACCTGACCAAAATAAATAAATAAATAAGGTACCTGTACAATATTTTGCCCCATTCCTCCCATGTACAAGCGCTTGATTCTGACCTGTCATTTGCGTTGGACAGATGCTACCACTTCATTTAGAATGTTTTCTTTGTTCAACTCATCTAGTTTCAAAATGAAAAATCTGAACAAATCCTGTGTTTTTATTAGGTTGTTGTTAAATGGCTTCAAGGAGCCATCTCATTTTTAGCTTCACTTGTAGGCTACACATGCTCGTAGGAGAAGCATGTTGCCATAGGAACTGGGTTGAATGCTTTGTGAGTGGGTTTCAGGGTACCAACTAACAAATGGCAACACATTCATCCTCGCCTGGAAGATCTGGCACACAGACAGGTATTGCGTGCTCCAGGCTACGTGGCCAACCATCACTTTGCAGACACCAAGACTCACACAGGGAGATCCACAAAGTGTGATAACACTTATTACCTTTTTAATTATCGACTCTTAATCAATCATGTTAATTGGTTCACTGGAGTTCAAACTGTGAAATGAAAAGTCTCCAGGGCTCGTAAGCACAGCCTATGGAGTTGAAATGGGCAATTTCTGCAGTGATTGTTTTGAAAATAATGTAGCCAACGGCAAAATCACAAGACAACACACTGCAACATTGTAGTTGAGCAGTTTTGGGTCGTCAAGTAACGTCATTTGCTGCTGTTAAAATCATCAAACTTGTTGACAATGGACCCAATTGGGGGGGCGGGGGGGGCACCTCTTTTTTTAAACAGTTCAAGACTAATTGCTGAAAAATATTTGACAGACATTTACAACATCAAATAAGCAATGCAGACATACCTTCGGGCAAACGGAAAGTTGACGCAGGCACTGGTCGACACATTTCGTGGGCTGTCCAGTGGGCTGCTTGCGGCTAAATGAGGAAAGATTTCAATGTAATCTAAGTTGTATTCACACCTTTAAGTGACAAGGGGGAATAATTAAAGGAAATTTAATGACACTGCAAATAACCACACGGCAGTATTTACTAGCTGACTTCATGTTTATAAACGGACCCTCAATCACTCAAGCAACAAGCTCTTCTGAATAAGATACATCATCTTGATATGACTTTGCCAAACATTCCAGTATCTATTCATGGATAGCTGTAAATTGTGAGCTCGGGTCAGACAGACCAGACTGAGAGGGTTGAGCATCATTTTGAAATACCAAGAGATGGAGGCGATTAGAGACTGATTGCACGCTCTCATGGGATAATCCTCGGGAGATTGCACATCCGTACACTGCTGGCACGAGGAGCCTTGTCTACCAACACTTTCCGGAGAGTGCAGCTGCTTCGGAGCATTAAGTGGAATGTCAACAAAATTGTTGATTCAGAAACCAACCACTCCAAATTATCATCACACAGGCTCTTGTGCCATGATAGGAAACACATGAAATGTCATTGAGATAATTTTCAAATCGGTATGGTCGAAGTTCTGAATTTGAATGTACCCTAAGGTCGTACATTCTGCAATTTGACCCAAAACTAATTTGGAAAAATGTGCCTGCATTGCCCACAAAAATGGCCCTTGTGCATGGCATCATGCCAGGCCTCAACTGACCATTGTTTCGAAAAAGATCACTCCAGTGTGTCCCAAACTTCTGACGGCAAAGCTGCATGAGCAAAGTCAACAGCTAATGTTAACTGCTAGTGTTACCCTCAGGTTATCAGGCCAGCTGTTATTATGTCGTCACAGGTTATGTGAAAACTAAGAGAGGAATAAATAAGGAACGAGCGGCACGGTAGTCATCTGGTTAGCACGTTGCCCCCACAGTGCAGAGGTGCGGGGTTTGATTCTCCGGCATTCCTGTGTGGGTTTTCTCTGGGTACTCCGGTTTCCTCCCACATTCCAAAAACATGCATTGCAGGTTGAGTGTGCATGCCAAATTGTCCCGAGGTATGATTGTGAGCGCGAATGGCTGTTTGTCTATGTGTGCCCTGCAACTAGCTGGCAACCCGTTCAGGGTGTATCCTGCCTACTGCCCGAAGATAGGCTCCAGCACGCCGTGATAAGCAGATGAGAAACTGGATGGATGGATAAAGAAGGAATAAACGAGCAAAATAAAGTAAGAAGAGTCGATGATACGGCCTCTATGGTTGGAGGGTAGGTACTGCACATAGTAGGGCGAGCAATATAGCCTTAAAATAAAACCTCTTTAAAGATAAATAAAAATCCATCCATTTTCCGATTCGCTTTATCCTCACAAGGGTTGCAGGGGGTGCTGGAGCCTATCCCAGCGGTCTTCGAGCAGTCGGCGGGGGACACCCTGAACCGGTTGCCAGCCAATCGCAGGGCACACAGAGACGAACAATCATCCACGCTCACACTCACACCTAGTGACAATTTAGAGTGTTCAATAAGCCCGCCATGCATGTTTTTGGAATGTGGGAGGAAACCGGAGTGCCCGGAGAGAACCCACGCAGGCCGGGGGAGAACATGCAAACTCCACACAGGAAGGCCAGAGCCGGGATCGAACGCACAACCCCTGCACTGTGAGGTCGACGCGCTAACCACTGGACCACCGGGCCGCCCTAAAATAAAAATCAATTTCCGAATCGAATCAACTACTCATAATTAAAAATAATAATAAATACACGCGCGACAATGATGTTCAAATCTTGGAGAAAGTGCCATTTAAACACAGCCCGAGAATACATCCATTTTAATTGACATCAATAAATTAACAATAAAAATATATGGAATAACAACACTGTCATTGAACATACCATGACTGAAATGAATCTTTGAGCCTGAAAATGAGCACAAAATCCTGCATACAGCACACAGCACTCAATGTAGAGGTTACGTAAACATTTTTACAATGAAAACACTCTCTGATAGGACACTTGGAACATGGATAGCTAATGTATTTTGACATTAAATTAATTTTATGTAAGTGTGAAATTCATTTGGATAAACTACACTACAGATCGTACGTAGTTAATCAAAACAGCTGCTACTTCCATTGAAGTGGCTCAGCATGTCTCCTCCGTTTGGTTGCAGCAGCCCTTGTAAATGCTTTGAGCAAAAAAACAGTGGGCTTCAATCTGATTCTGCAAACCCAAACCAATTCCAAATGACTGACGAAACGGCTTTCAAAACAATAGGACAGGAGAAGTGATTTTTGTGGCAAGCCTTTTGGCATTCCAACACACACAAGTGCCATCCCACTTTCATTACAGCTTCACTACCTCGTCCAAAAGACAGAAAATTACTGTGCTAGCTTGGGATGTGCTTTAAAGAAAAGTCACCCCACAAAAAATGTTTTTGACAAGAATGTGTTTCATGCAGCCCCTCTAGTCTAAATTGCGTATGTGGAATATGAGTTAAGCAGCAAAACTCACCCATTTTTGTCCATGTCAGGGCGTGACCATTTTTGGCACTTGCTGTCAACTGAAAATGGCGTCACAGTTGCTCGAGGCCCAGGAACAAACAATCATGGCCCAGTTTCAGAAAACAGGTGAGCCATGATTGGTGCTTCCCTGAGCGCTGAGCAACTGTGATGTCAGAAAGCGGCAAGATGGCCAGCCTCTGAGATGGCTAGAAACAGGTGGATTTTGCTGCTTAACTCATATTTCACAAATGCAAGATGAATGAGCAAAGGCCCAAAAGAACATGTTAAAATTTTGGGGTTGACTTCCCTTTTAAATGTCTATCATTTACACAGAACAGTGAGTTCAGATGAAGGATTTTTATAGGCAGTATAAAAAGGGCTACTGCATTTGTGACCCTTTTTAAATGTTGTATTTCCGACTTCATACAGCTAAAAGTCTCTTGCTTTGTTGTAAGCCTTCCCAAAGTGCAATCATGTTAATTGGCAGCCTAGAAGCCAAAAGACAAGTTCTTACAAGAGGCTCTCTTGTTAACGTGTGATACAAAACTTGAATTGTCAAGTACAAAAGCAAACAAAACACGGTATCACAGTGAAGTGCCAGTTGCAGAAATCTGCCAGTGTAGATATTCTTGTGTGGTCTCAAAACAGTCTGCTACTTTCTGGGGTAAGTTGGGCAGGAGACACGCCAAGTCATAAATGCTCAACAGGAGGATGCTTGAAACTGACTAATAAAGAGGGACAATTTTTTTGTTTCTCAGCTGCCGCTGTTTTCAAATATTAAATTACACACAGACGAGGCATGCGCCTCTGTGCAATTTCAACAATTAAATGAGTTAATGAGCTGATGCAGGGTGAACGGTTTGTGTCTTGTAATTAACAGCAAAAACGAGTTAAGGTTTCGTGGAATCTCTCGACACCTAAAAGTTGTGATTCAAAGCTGTCTAAATGTAAATTCTGATGAGGGTTTGAGCTAAGGCTCGTGATTTGCTTCCCTGGTTTGTCATAGCATTTATTCTTGGGAGGACATTAGACCTGAAAGTTACTGGGGAGCCACTATGAGAATCCAAGGCAACATGGCAGGACAAGGCCTTCCTCACCCTGAAGAGAGTAAACGAGATCTCAGCAGTGTGAAACTAGAGCCGGCTCTCATTTCTAGCGCGTGTATCAAAATGCTCTTGAATAGTTTGGCTGCCAACATGCTGTGCAGTAGAGATCAGTCCTTCTGAGCTCAAGTTTAGAAAAATGGCATCGAACCGGTTCAGCAAGAAAGCACCTGCTGCCGCAACCACATGTAACTGCTCTGTGATTGAAATAAGTACACTGCAATAAAACAAAGGTGGATAACAAAAGCTGTCTCATAATACTGATGTCACACTATGATGTCACACTCTTAATGGCGTTCCACCTTCCAATGCGATGAAACGTGACCCTCCTAAGAATATACCGACCTGCACTGAACTGTGGTAAATGGAACAGGACTGCTTGGTGAGCAAACACCGTAATTTTGAGTCACAGTTTTGTGCAGAGAAACGTAAATTGTTGTTTAGGATCAATTCACATCAAAACAAGAAGATGCTACTTTGGTTTGACAAATCCTAAGGATTGTTAGCGTAAGGATTACTTGCTTAAAAGCAGGTAAGACTTTACAAGTCTTGGAGGGAGCCTGTGGGAGGCGGGGAGGGAGGGAGGGGCAAAAAAAAAAACAGGCAACCTAATGATTTGTGATGTAAAAATTAGCACACCTCTATTTGTGCTCAATTAACTGATGCTAATTTTTACAATGTCTGTGTTTGGGCTGCTGTTGCAAGTCAGAGCATGGATCTTACCTGTATGGACTGAGAGGGGGGAGAGGGGTCGGGACAAAGTGGGTGATGGCGTTCCGACACAGAGACTCTTCCTGTTGTTGCTGCGGCAGCTGGCGCACAAACACAACATGATGAGAAACATTAACAAACCATTTCTCTTAATTCACAACAATCAATGCTGATATAAACAAGGCTTACAACGGAAACCTACTTCTACGTACAGTTGATAATGTTGGGACAGGTGTTTTGTCTCATTGCTACGTCTTCAGATAACTGCCTACAAATCCCCTCTTCTACTTTGTAATTAATGGCAGCAAAATGAAAAATGGTTGTTGTAATTACAGGGTCCATAAAAACACTGATTACACGACATAATGATATGTAATCCAATTCAATCAAATTGATAAAGATTGGGGTGACATGGTGGTCGACCAGTTAGCACGCCGGCCTAACAGTACTGTACTCCAGTTACTTCCCACATTCCCTCCACCCCAAAAATATGCATGGCAGGTCAATGGAACACTCTAAATGGTCTCTAAGTGTGATTGTGAGTGCAAATGGTTGTTCGTCTATGTGTAACCTGGCTGGCAATCAGTTCGAGGTGCACCCTACCTACTGCCCAAAGACAGCATGCCCGCGACCCTTGTGAGGATAAGCGGATTAGAAAATGGATGGATGGATGATGAAGATGGAATCCATAGATTCCATAACAATGATGTGTTATTTTGCTTTCAGTCCTACAGCCCAACATACCTTAACACATTATATGGCCTCTTCTTCTAGGATTGAACTGTTACTGCTCAAAGTCACCCCGAAGATAGTAATCAACTGTACGCTTCCACTAGCTAGACAGTGATTTCACTGTCAGGAAATCCTTCAACGAGCACCTGCCAAACAGATTGATGCGCCGTGCTAGGTAAGATGAATCAGGTGTTCTGCAAGTGGCCTGCAGCGTCATGGGACCAAACAATTACGTCTTTCTTTCTAGAGCAATTATTACGTACCTCATTCCTGCAGCACTAGATGAGTTGAAAATTTGTACCACTGAAGTAGTTTCTGGATAGGACAGTGAGAGGACAGACTATTGCATCGATTGTTTGCAGAGCAACCATGAGCCCATATGAAACTGGATGAAATCAGGCATATGTAGCTACTAAGTGTAAAAGATTATTTCAATAACGTTACAACATGTGTTTAATATTGGGAGTGTTTTTGTGGACACCCTGGACTATATCTGCCACTACATTAGCAGAACACACGGCCGATCTGATCTGAACAGCTAAGTTGCTGTTAAAACGCTCCATGTAAAAACAACTTCGCATTTCCAAAAGCTTTTTGTAATCATCTTGACCTTGGTTATCCGCTGCAAACACTATTCTTATGCAATGCTTGTGTTAACTTGTGTATTTGTGCGCATATACAACTGTAGTTTAAAGCTGAATGAGGGTAATGACACTGCATGGATTAATGAGATCTGACCTCGGAAGTAGCCGCAATCCACTAAGCTCTGGCCTTTGGCAATACACCGAGTGAATCGTAATAACCTCAAATAACATTTTAACCAGATGCAGAACAGTGGATGATGATGATGGTAGAATGGTCTTGTTTTTATTATCAAAATTGTGTGGAAACCATGACAAGGAACACATTTTGCTGTTCCATCATATAGTAATTGATGGCTTTTTAAATTAAAGGGGACACAATGTGACTATATTATATTCAGAGGACCACTTTTGAGGTTATACCACAAGAATATGTAACACTTCAACTCTGTCCTTTTTCCAATAACTTGGGGGATTTTTTTTGTGCCATCCAGGGAGATTTAAACCAACCCATGAGATTATTTCCACCCTCCGAACAGATCTGCTTGAAGGAACATTTATGTAACTCCAACTCTAATCTGCAGGCAAATTCATGACAAACTACTATGGCCTTAGAGAGTGGGAGGGAGAACTAATGAGCCAAAATACAAAGACGGAACCTCCTGTCAACAGACTCATGTCTGATGGGAGTGGGTGCAACGACAGCAGCAGGCCCAGCTTGAGTTGCAGATGTCCAAGCCTGATTTTGTGTGTGTGTGTGTGTGTGTGTGTGTGTGTGTGTGTGTGTGTGTGTGTGTGTGTGTGTAGGGTGGGGAGGATGTAATCCCCCAAGCCTAAAAAGAAGGGGCCAAACTTGGGACCATAAACGCGACCATGAGCAGATGTTTCATTGGGATGAACGATGAATGTTGTGCAAAAATATTTCAAACAAATGAAATGATTTCCTACATACATTTACCTCAGATGAATAAGAGAGCAAAACAATGTGTTGATGCGTCAAACTTGAGTAAACGTTACTTTCTAGACCATGCTTGCAGGAAAAATTACTTCATTGCGTTCATACAGCCTGACATTGACTTTTAACAGCTTGGTAACTTGGCCCTGGAATAGTCAAGAGCAGTAACGGGCTCCCAGTACACTTTTACTATACAGTATATTTATTTGTAGTAATGACAATGCCATCTATGGTCATTACAATTAACAAAATATGCACCCCACCCCCACCCCGCCCCACATAGCATGTCTTTTTATCACCATTCTTTGTGTTTTCAGGGGCAACAAAGTGATGCAATTTAAAACATACACAACGACCAGACCACATTCGATGAGCTCGTTCTCGTGGTCTGGAGGTTTTGTGTTTTTAAAGCCAAACAAAACAACAAACTCCAGTCCGTCAGCCACCGCTATGGACAGACCGTAAGGTTTATGTTTTCTTATACGACGTCCACAGTGCATCCTACTACTGTAGTTGGCCTGAATTACAGGGATGTATTGTTAGGCGGCTGTAATGTTAAACCTCACCCAACACAAGGGATATTACAGTGTCAAATCGATGCTATATAGTCAAATTATGATGCAGTACTCCAGTTTAACAGCTTCATCCCAGACAAAAGCTTCTACTCGCCTTCCCCCAAATGTGGGATTAACGTTCTAGCATTTAGCTCAACAATTCTTTCATCTCAATGAGGTGGAGAAAACAAAAGAAAACAATTTGCATGTTTTCCTATGTTGGCTACAAGTCACCACGTCATTCAAAACAACCCGAATAACAGACAACAACGCAAAAGTGACGAAGTATTATGTCTTGAGTTTAACCCGTACAGTAAATTTCCAATTCATGTGAACTAACCTTTTTGAGCGCTTCAGCAAGGCTTCAGGAACAAAATGGGACTTGTTCCGGCTCGGTTGACTTGGGTCCGACATACTAAACGATTGTCTTTCATAACCTTAAAAAGTTTATTGCGAATTTCAATAGACTGGATTGCAGGTCCTCTTCTGGTCTCTCCACCATCGTCTTTCTCTTTCGCCAACTCCTTTTGTTTTCAACGCCGATTACGTCTGCCGCGTGCAGTACGAATCAAAGCGGTTTCGACGCCCCTTACATGTTCTGGTTCGCTGTCGAACTGCGGTATTGTGCCCGAAACATCAAGCCCATGACGGTATCTTTGCTGGACAACGCAGACCACCGAGCAGCGAGTCGCAAACACACGCTGCTGGTTGTGTGTGTCGGTGTGAGGAACCTGAGTCTGATGCTGCGTTCAAGTGCCGCTCGGTTACTTTGGTTCCAACTTTGCCTCTGTTTCAAAGCATCGACCGGCCATCGATACCAAAATAAATGACTTTGACATCAAAAGATTTGTATATTTTTGCGGGGAACGACACGGCACAAAGTTTACATGTTTGAATACCCCGTTTATAGTTTAAAACTATGTCTCAAAAGGGTGGTAGTCTAAAATGTATCTAATGTGGTAAGGCTATCTCGGGGGATAGTGACCTCGCCAGCCCTGCCACGAATAGAGAACACCCCCTGCACTAAACGTGTATGACCCTCAATTACGGCTGGACGATTTTGGAAAAATAATTGCGACCCCCACCCCGGACTACCACCAAACTGCAGTTGTGATTTAAGAAACAATGATTTTTTTCAAGGTCTTCTCACCATCTATTTTTTTTAACAAACAAGCTATAAATACAATAAACAACGTTACCATTTATTATACATGTTTTGGTCTTGTAAGTTACCCTTACGACAACATGAAGGTAACTCAAGCATGAATTAATATGGGGTTTTATCTATTACAGCGACAGTACCGGTAACTTAATTTGCCTTGAAGCATTTTGTACAACTTGATGAAAACTCCACGCAGGAGGGCCTGACCTAGGAATCAAAACCGGTACCTCTCAAGTGTGAAGCAGATGTGCAAAACATTAAAACGCCGTTGTAGTGGTTTATGGAATGTGATAGAAAACTTATCTAACAAAGGGATTCCCTACATTCAGATTTAAATTTCACACAAGAAAATGAGCAACATTTAAAATGCAAACCATAGCAGGTTGGATGTGAAACGTCTTGAAAGATGATGTTAACAAATGAGCAATGTGTCATACTGTTACTGTGTCATAAGATCATGCAAATCCGGCTTTAGTCAATTGCTTTATGGTTAAAAAAAACACACACACACATACACAATCCTGTATTGCTCATAGTGTGGCGTGATAGCCAAGCGCTGCTGACACATCCAGAAACATGCTGGATGCAAACGTCTCTGTTTGCAGTGGTGTCTTCCTCCAGAGCACCCATCATCGTTGCCAAGCAACCCACAGACTTAGACAACTAATAACTGGTGGGGCTTAACTGGTAAAAAATGGGCTTCTTAAAATATAAAGACAACCACATTATTAGGTGCTATACTGCACATGAGAAAGGCTTTCTTCAAATGGCCGAAACATGTCATTTAGTTACCCTCTTTTAGTTTTTATAGCTTGCAATCACAGTAAAGCAACATGACACCGAAGTAGGCCTGGGCAAAGTATGGCACGGGGGTTACATCCGGCCCACCACAGTCTGACTCGCCCTCAGAGTGAATGTGAAGTCAAAATAAAACAAAAAAAAAATGTGGTGCTTTTATTTTGAAAGTTGTGCTCTGATTTTATGGCGCACATACAGACGGTGGCACAAGCAAGGTAGCGAGCGAGAGCTGTGACTTGTGTCTGCGGTGTTGCCAGCTAGACATTTTCTGTTTGTTCATGGACTTGTCCGAGCCCTGTAGCAACTATTTTTACAAAAAAAGAAACTAACAAAAATGCTGCTAAATAATAATGCTAAATAAACTAACAATAGTGCAACATTCTTATTTCCTGCACAGTGGAGGGAAGAGGGCCAAGATTTGTCATGATAATACTGTATACAAATCTACAGTATGATCTACTGTATGTAGTGATGTACATGTATTATAAATTATCAGCATATCATTATACTGTACGCCACTGTCAATAATATTGTACTTTCCACTTACATATATTTTTTTAGAGTCCTGTCTAGGAACAGCTAATATGAATTGGTGGTTGGTGCACAAAGATAAAGATAAAATTTATTGACCGCCTAATTATGACAACATATACCATATACATCTTTATTTATATAGCGCTTTCACAACACCTGCAGCTGTTCTACACTTGCAGCATTGTTTTGAAACAAGACAACATGCTTTTTCATAATGAATTTCCCACCCTTGCACTATAGGTTTGGCTCTGCTCTTGTGTGCTCCTGCTTTCTAATAAAAACGCGACTTTAATTAGCAAATAAATCAGTAGCCAGAAAGGATTTACTCTTATGGGAAGGAATTCATTTTAGGCGTTTCGGAGTTCATGCTAAAAGATTCTCAATTTGTTGAGGGAGAACAAAAACAACTCGTACGTTGACAAGCTTCTTCTTGTGGCAGAGGTCAAGACAGAAATAACCTTTTTGCCAACTCATTGGAAGGGAAGACACTTTTAGACAAAGCTCCTTTACGTAGAAGCAGCCTGTCATGAAATGTAGTTCACTCTCACAAACAGCAGTATGTGACCTGGTCATCTTACCTCCAGGGGTGAAGGGTTTGCAAGGGGCTGCAAGGGCTGCAGGGGCTGCACGGACTCAGGAGAGTGGGGCTCTGATAAGTGGGTGATAAACTGAAAGGCAAGAAATGGTTGCATAGATTAGTGTACTGGCTTTCAAATCAAAATCAGTGAACAGCAAAACTTCATATGATGGTATAAGGAAGCCACTCGACATTATGCGCAGTGTGATACTAGTCCTGCCTGTCCAGTACATGTTGTTCATCACAGAATTTGTTGACGCTTATGATGAGTTCACTTAAAGACGTACATTGAAACGACACTATGCCATTCGACCCACTTTGTGACATAGAAAATTGAAGCTTTGAAATGGCACACCCAGAACCCAGGGCTAAGTCCAATTTTAAAAATCGATGATCTACATCCCGTCCCAAAAAGAATGAACTATGCAATGAAAATGACCTCTATTATGAATTGATTTCACTTAGAAATGTTCCCAGCTGTCTGACAAAATACTCCAAGGATCAAAAACCATAGCACACTTTTATACACCTTGTCAATTTCTTGCTGAAATTGGCCTGTGTGAGAGGGTGCCCCTGTCCAATGAAAGTGGCCCATCAGTCACCTACCCAACACATTCTTGGACTCATGGCAATTTAATTTCCCTGACAAATCTGGGCGGAGCTAGAGGTGGCTGCATCTTGAGCCTCAAATGTTTAAAAAAACTGCAAAACCCATGTTGTATAGTGCAGGGGTGTTGGTCGTGAGGATCTGGTCCCGCTAATTTTCCGTGCGCCCAAGCAACGTCCAATGTTAATAACGCAGAGTAGACAAATGCGACAACACACAAACAATCACCGGCATGGCAAACTTGCAGCAACAGGCTGTTACAGCGCTGCTGTTTGTGATAGACTTTGACTTGGGGCTCATTGTCAGGGACTTGGACTTAACTTGGCCTCATGGTCAGGGATTTGAGACTTCACTTGGACTTGGATTCAAAAGACTTGAGACTTAATTTGGACTTGGCCATAGATACTTGTACCCATCTCTGGGTGGCCTGCAGCCCTGTATCCCACTGGAACAGAGCCCCTGCCCTGTGTTGAGCTCCACATTTAAAAATGAGGGCCACTAGAAAATGAACAGCGGGGCACGAATGGCCCCCCCGGGCCATAGTTTGGTTACCACTGGCATACATTACCATATTTTCTGTACTACAAGCCATTACTTTTTTCCTCACTCTTTGACCCCTGCTGCTTTTATTGTGACATAGCTTACTTATTAATTTTTACTGACGAGCTTCGAGCCGACATCATCACTTTACCCATAGTCTCGTCACATCTGACCAGTGAAATTACCCAACATGTCACAGTGGACTAATGAATCTGCCAAGTCCGCCCTGTAGCGGTGCAGGGCTGTTAGGAGCGAATGAGAGCGAAATTAAGCATCTTGAGTTGAGTTTAATGAGCAGTGGGAACAAGTGCCATAAATGCAGCCATCTCTGCAGTGCGATCCCTGTCTCGTTGTGTTGTGTTCGCGATAACTTTTTGTGATTAGTTAAACTGCACTACAACCTCTTGCCGCGGCTGAAGCAATGCGTCCCCGGAGATGGCATCATCAACAGGGACACATTGCTTCAACGGCGGCAGCGGGTTGGTTTGCAGCCTTAACCGGGTCACGGAACTGTATTTTGAAGGTTTCCCGACCCGGTCAGCTGTTCACGTGACAAGGAAACAGTGACAGTTCAGATGCAGGCGGAAGCGACAGCCAAAACTGTCAGCTAGGTAAGAGGGTTTTTTTTCTTCACAAAAAAAAAAAATGTCTGATAAAAAGGAAACCTTAAACCTGTTTCAACTAATAAGAAGACAAGATGGATGTCATAGCGCTACCCATCGCCATGTTTTTTCTCCAAAACATCAGCTTCACCGTGAGCGCCTCCCGCAGACAAGTCTCTGAGTAAACCGAAAGCCTTCGAGGCATGTGAGAGCCACCTTCTACGCCAGCCACACAAGCCTCTTTTCCTCTCTCAGAAGCCAATGTTGATGAATGTTAATAACTGTATCAGGGTTTTTAAATTACAGATTTAAGTAAATACGTGCAGTGTTGTAATCTTTGTCTCAAACATGTAAAGTATAAATACTGTTTACATATTTTAAACATTCTGGTACCCACATAGACATGCACCAAAATTCCTATCGGAGAGTGTGGGGGGGAGGGGGTCAAATCTTCATCATGGTTTTCACCTTTCGCGGGGGGGTTTCTGGTCCCCATTAATGTTGAAAATGAGGGATTACTGTATTGTAGTTTCCTTCCTGGACACAACATTTCATCAGTGAATTAGATTTTCAGTCAATTAATGTGCAGATCCATGCATGTGGACACATACACAGTGGACACATAGCCAAACTCAAATACCCTCCATCACATCTAGAATCTCACCAAAAGATCAAGCATGTGTGCCTCATCAGTTAACAGTTAACACTGTTATCCAACATTAATATGTCCATTTAACATAACTAAATGAAGCTCTGTTTACCTTTTGCTTCTTTCTCTGTGCAGGTTACAGGCCACATTTCTTCTTTGTCTTTTTTTTTTTTTTTTTAATCCCGGGTGTCACCAGTCATCGATATGGCAACACACCCAACACTAAATGTTATTGGCCAAAACTAAAGCAACTTTCTGATGCAACCTTTGATGGTGTAAGATGTACTTTATGACATTCAACTGGCATCACACCATACATCCAACATGTTTACCATGCA